TCCAAGCGCATAAATCATACAAAAACCAGCTAAACTGGCATCAATACTAGCATACTGCCATAGGATAAAAATACCAACACAATAAGATGCCAAGGCACCTGTGCTGCCAATGCGAACATGCATCCACCGATTAGACATATGAAGAAGGTAGGTAGTCCTATTGGATGTATTTAAACTATAGGGTGAAGTGGTGAACATAAGTAAGATTATAATTGATAAATAATATGATGTGAGGAATCTGATGATGAAACAAAGTTACCGGTCAGTGAATTTTTTAACAAATCGATGCTCGGCAGCGAATGCTCTAATAGTTGTAATACCTCTAATAACGATAATGATAAATGATTCAATCAAAATAACACTTTTAATAAATGTATGTATTAAAATTACTCACATATTTGTCTCATTGAACCATGAGACAACAGGTGAACGAGTAATGGACTGAAGGCGTTTTAATTCTCTTGAAACGTTAATATACGCGCTGCTAATTACAAGACATAGTGCAACTATATAAAAGGGATATATTTATGAGAGCATGAAGAATAAATTTATATTAATATCGTGTAATACTATATAAATTAATAGTATTTTAACCTACCCACTATGATGGAAATGAAAAAAAATTTTCGTATTATGACTGTAATCACCACGAGTATACTTATTGTTCCTATCACATTTCCAAGGAAATTTGATATAATTGTTACAAGACCCTGATCTATTATACCTAGATCTTTTGAAAAGCGATTCATTACTTTTCCAAGGGGAACAGTATCGAAAAATGTAAAGGGCGCGTTCAAAATAGCATTAAGAAGCTTGGAAAATAAGGTTTTTGAACCTTTAAACGAAACTAAAAGTTGACATGCCATACGAAAAATTATAAAAAGTGCTGATACTGAGGCAATTAAAATATATATAGCTACGAAACGTATTTGAACATAATCATATAATAACTCAAATAATGATGAGTTAGGGTCTGACCATTCTTTCAACCAATATGCTTCACCAATTGTTAGAACTCGAATTATAATTAACAGAAGAATAAGCATGGTCCAAAGCAATAAACCTCCACTAGATTTGATGTAAAAATAATAAAGATTGAACGGGTCTTTAACTTGACTATGCACTATGTTAAGTATGATCAATTACAATAAATAAGTTTTTTCATAAAATTGTACAATTTGTAGCAAATATATAAATATACCTTCATTTGTTGTCCAAATTTTCTTATCATATTTTTCAACCGTTTGATTAAATGAATTCTGTGTAATTGTATCTATCTGATCATGTTTAGCATCTGCATTTGTTCTAAACATTTCATTGGCTAAAGCTTCAGAATCCATCATTTGCCCAGAAGTTCCTTCAGCTATAACAGTCCCACCACCGAGTATTACTATATAATCAGAAATATCCAAAAGATCTCGAATATAATATGTTACAATAATCACAGTTCGTCCGGCAATAAATGGACCTTTTATACAGTTGTTAATTATTTGACGCGCTTTAACAAAATTTTGTAATATGCATTAGGAAATGTGGAAAGCATAAATTTCAAGCCTAAATTCTATTATTAATATATATATGAACCTGTAGTTGAGTCCATAATCGACAAAAAATCATCTAGCAGTATTATTCGCGCATCACTATATAGTGCTCTTGCGAGTGCCACGCGAGCCTTTTGTTCATCGCTTAGTACTAAATCTTTATCATTATACTTTTGGTACAAAAAATTATATTAATTACTTGTTTTAAATAACACTGTACAGCTACCCTCGTTAATATCAACCTCATTAATATCAACCTAAGCCATAAGATGAATTTTTACTAATTTTTATATATTAAAACCCCCTCATATATATCAACTTTTAATATAATCCCTTGTTAATATCACTATCAACATGAATTTAAATCAATTCAAATGGGTTGATATAATCGAGGGTAAACTGTATTACTTTATGAAAGTAAAGCAGCTGCACCTCAGTGAAATCGGCTTGTTCCATGCTCTCAAAATCTTTAAGCAAACCGCATGCATCAACAATGTTCCAATAGCGCTCATCTTCGAAATTGGAGCCAAATAGTATATTTTCTCGTATAGTTGAATTTTCCAACCATGGTTGCTGAGGAACATAAGCAACTTTTGTTATAGGAAAATGGATAGTACCACATAGCAATGATGTTTCACGAAGAAGTGAAAGTAAAAGGAGCGTTTTTCCAGAAGATTTATGCCCGCCTTTTAGAACAATAACAATAGTAAACATAACAAGAAAAAAAAGGAAATCACGAGAAGTGCTCATACATACAAACAAGGCTTAGTGTTCCGATAGGAAACTTTAAATTTAGATTTTTTAATACAAAATCATTAGGACTTCGAATGATATCATCCTTCCAAGCCACATTAACACCAGTAAAACCAATATTGGTAACCATAGAATCTGAACTAGAAGGCTTTTGAATCTCTATTTCATCCTGAAACTTTTCTATACGCCCTACGGAGACCACAAGTGCCTTAAGGTCAACTATCAAATCTGGATAAATTTGCATTGACTGCTTCAATATGTTAAATAACATAAGGCTCGTGAAAACTTTAGGAGCTGTTAATTGGTTTTGAAATATAATCGTATAAAAAGTGAATGTAATCAATGTCACGAAGAATTGTGTAAGGTGAACTAATAAGGTAAGCAATGTTGTACGCCAGAAGAAATGTTGAAGTTGATCAAGTTCAATTTGACGCGAAACTAGTAACAAAAATTACTTTAGTAATGGTTTGATAGAGTATTGTGTTTTAATGAAACAAGTGATCAATGAAATAGGAAAATTATTACGCATTAATTTATCGTGAAAACTGCGCTCCCAAGCTAACATTTTGATCGTGCGAACTACATTAAGTAGCTAATGATATATACATTATAAATAAATAAATAAATAATTTATATTATCCATATAAATAATATAAGATACAAATTACTCACTTCAAAAATTTCACTAACTCTACCGCTTCTGGCTCTTTTGACCCGCTTTTGCAACCGATTGACGTGTTTTCCATACCTTTTATTATACCAAAGGCATGCTATCATCATTACCACGCCAGCAATACTAGACACTCCCAATAAAGAATATAAAAATACCGTTATTGCGATTACTTCCAAAGGAATTGTCAAAAGAAAAGGAAGATTGGAAAAGAAGCCAGTAATATCATAAACTTCAGTTGTCAAAACGTTGTTTGATCTGCCACCTTTGACTTTAGTTAGAGTAGTTTTTAAGCATATTTGTTTTTCATATACCAATAAGCTCAACATTTGTTCAACGCGAATGTTCAGCCATGACATCTGATAATTTAACTGGTTTAAAAAAACGACACCAGCAAGCTCAGAGCATAATATTCCAAATACATAAAGATAGGGTTCTTCAGTATATTTTTTTGTTTTGTCATCAGACATATACGCCAATAATCGATATAGAAAGAATGGAGTAATAAGATAAGAAATAGATCGTAGTATTGCAATAACAATGAAAAGAACAAGGTTAGCGGAATTGGCACGAAGTAATCGAGTTAGAAGATCCGTATTTCGTACTCTATAGTAAATACAATCAGTATATTCAATAAAAAGTTAATAGAAAAATTTAATGAAAACAAGCCACCTACCGATCTAATTCCAAATAACAGTGAGTAGCCTGACATCTAAATGGTAATTCCCATAAATCATCCACGGTAAGATCGTGCCCATTACTCAATTTAATTATTGGAGCCATCCACGAAAAAGAGATAAGCGACCATAAAGACGCGATAGTATCACGAGATATCATTCTGTTTCTTGTGTACATCAATTCAGGATTTCGTGGTCTTAGAAGAGAAGAAACGAACGATACACCACAAGCAAAAACGTTCCATACAGCAAATATGAAAATAATTCTTTCTGTTGAATCATCTGCTTCATCATCTTTTCCATTTTTTGTTCCATTTATTGTTTCATTTCTAATAATAGAACGAAAATTAAGGCACGCAATAATGAATAAAAGCGTGTATAGAATCAATAATTGTCTAATGAATGCGTATTGTGTTTGGTATTTTTATCCTATGGCAGTATGCTAGTATTGATGCCAGTTTAGCTGGTTTTTGTATGATTTATGCGCTTGGA